ATCAACTACCGACAAAATAATAATATTTTAGTAAAATATAATAACATTTGGGACGTCCCAGTTAAAAGAAATAAAAAGTTGATTATAACTTGGAACAAATAAACAATACTTATATTGATTGCAGACAAAATTAGGCTTTGTATGGAACAATAGTGACAAAAAGACTAGCAACCAATAATATATTGATCATCAGTATATCATTGTGTATAGAGACATGGAGGGGGATAAATATTTATTAATCCTTAATCAAATTTCTTAAATTCGAGCTTCGGAAATGGAGTCACCTTTGGTGGCACAAATCATGAGTTGCAGGGTGACAAGGCAGGCAAGGGAAAATATAACACGAAAAGCTAGATTCATCTGAACCTAGTAATTTTATTGTGGAGTTTTATGTGTAAAAAGATCACTAAAATCACAATAAATAATAACCCTGGACTCATACTTTTAATTTACAAATAAAATAGGTTCAATATTAAGAATTTTAAAAATTGAACCAACAAAACATAAATCCTAGATCCATCTCTAAAGTTAGATATCTGACACCTGATGAGAAAAAAAGACTAGCACAATCTACAGAAATAGCATAAGAAAAATATAACTACATTGCAAATTCAGATATTGAGAAAATTGGACGCTCACACTTGAAAGATTTATCATATTTTTAGAGAGTTGAAAAAAATGGTATCAGTCAGTTAACAAGTACAACACTCTATTGAGGTGTATTTATGGAACAAAATATTCAATCGGCACTTTAAAATATGATAATTCATCCTTTAAATCATACTCTTGAAATGTGATGGAAGAAATTAAAGTGGTTACTATTACTATAAATTATTAAAAAAAACTAAGAAGGAAGAGTAGCCAAATAATGTTGTTTTAGTTATTGCATTAATTTTTAACATAATTAGTTGTTACTTTTAGAATGAATTTGAAATAAATTTACTTGCTAAATTATTTTTTAATAGATCATGCAATATTGAGAAGACATTATATAAAGGAAAAAATGTTACCATCAGAAAACACACGTGCATTAGAAGAGAAAATTGATCAAAAAGTACGATATTTGCAATCATTCATCTAGCCTTTTGAGATATGTGATAATGTCGAATTTCTGCATTTATGTTTAAAAATAATAAAACGATCTTTAAGTTATTTCTATTATTCGGATATTAGTTGAGAATCTATATATATATATATATATATATATAAAGCTGGATATTAGACATGCTGATGTGGCGCTCTCTGAGGCCAAGAAACCTATTTGTCTATTTTCTTTTTCTTTTTTGAATATTTTTTATATATTATTCCTATCAGATAATTTTTTTCTCCATCTAATTAAACACCTAATGATAAAAGTAACTACATCAATTCTCCTCTCTCAATTAGCCTTCTCTCAAACCCAAACATTTAGCTGATTAATTTGATAAACGTCTACCCTTTCATTTTCGATTAATAATGATTATTGTATTTAATTGTAATATGAAATTATCCGTTTTTAAAAAAGTAGTATTTAATTGTTTGTATACATTTTGGAAATAAAAAATTTGCAAGGTCTCTATTCAAAATTGAAATTCACAGCAATCTATATTTATATATATATATATAAAGCTAGATAAAAAAGAAGTGATGTGGCACCTCTCAATGGCCAAGGATCCTATTTATTTTTTTTTGTGATTTTTTTACATTTTTTCTATTTTTTAAAATTATTGTATTTTATAAAATCACTTCTTTAATTCATACATCTTCAATTACATAAAACCTCTTAATTAATTTAATAATATTTATAACTCCTAACCTTTCATATTCATAACCTTCAAATTATTTAATATATAAATTTATAACTCTTCAAAATCACACTTATAAAAACCTATTTGAGACATATGTGATAGTTATTTTATTTTCATTTTTCTTATTTTTCATCTTTTGTCGCTTTGGTTGGTTAATTTTTTGTCTTGATATGATTTTGCAGGACAGAGATCTATAATGAAGAATATTAGACATTCTTGCATAGTTTGATTTTATAAGGTAAAATGATTTGACATGCATAATATAACTATCACTTTTTTCTATTGTAATTATGTTTTAATTATTTTTTTGGATTCTTGATTATACGAATCAAGATTATTATTTTTTTAGAAAAAATGATTTGATTTTTTCTCTTTGTAGTTTCTAGAGAATATTAATGTTAGACATTCTTGCATAGTTTGATAATGATTTGACATGTTTAATATAATTATCACATTTTTATTGCAATTATACATTTAATATTACTTCTTTGGGATTCTTGATGAAACAAATAATGATTTTTTTTTTTAGAAAAAATGATTTGATATTTCTCTTTTGCTTCTCTTTGTAGTGTTTGGAGATTTTTTTTGTTGTTGCTTATTTTGTAGTTTCTAGAGAATCTGATTATTTTTACTTTCTTCCTTTCTTTATAGTTTTTGGAGAATTGAATTATATTATGTTGATAATAGGTTCCTTCTTTCTTCTTTAACTCATAACTAAATATTCTTTAAAGTTTTTACTTGATTAGTTAACTTTATTTTTTTGTTGTTATTGTAAAGTTAACTTACCGGATTTTCAGGTCTGGATATTTTTGAAAATAAATGTAGAAAAAGGAGTTAACATATCCATATATGCTACTCAAGAAAGTATGTAGATACAATTTTATAGTTATGTGGATCAAGTTTTTATTTATTATAATGAATAGAACATGGAAATATAAAGTGAATTAATTTTAAAAATATAGTTTAATTCATAGAAAAAAAGATGATAATTAACATGTTGAGTAAAGAAGAAAGAAACGGTAAATATAAAAAACTCTAATTATATCTTATTTATGAAATTTTATAATGAACAAATGAAAAGACAATTTAAATAAATGAAAAGAGACTAATGGCTAAATTAAAAATGATAATTAACATGTTGAGTAAAGAAGAAAGAAACGGTAAATATTAATCTCAATAAATTCATCAAATCTTGAGCATATAAATATACTACTAAGAAGAAGGTTATGCAAATTATGAGGTAAATGTCTTTGTGATTGTTGGGTTTTATGAGTATGTAATTGTTATATTATATATGTCTAATATTTAAATAGTGAAGTACTGCAAGATTGTGTTATATGTAATTCTTTTTTCTATAGATAATATTATTTTAAAATGATGTGTCGATTTTTTTGGTAAAAAACTGTTGATTCTTAAAAGTATATATCTATCTAATATAATAATTATTGACACTAAAACGGTGAGGTGTTGTCTCTCTTTATTTTGACATATTTTGTTTTGTTTTTTCTTCCTACTATTTATTGAACTTATTGTAAAAATAATTATTTAAATAACTTTAATTTTGATTGTCCTTTCATTACTCCAATTACGTTACAAATAAAATCAAAGTTATATTCTTAATCCTCTTAATTACTAAGTATAACTTTTCATTCTTAGGAATTTATTGTATATTGAATGTAATATTTATTTGAATATAGGCCAAGCAAAACTAGAAAAATTGGAAAATTGTACCTATCATTTTTTTCAATCTTTTTTGTATAGTTAATTCTCTCTTTTGTTCTCTTTTTTATATTTAATTTCAAATGTATTTTTTTCTTACCTTCTTGTGTCTTCTAATTTCAAATTTTTATTTATTTATTAGTGATCTTGATTGACAATTTTTTAGGTTGGTGAACAAATGAAAATTAAAAAATAAATAGTAATGAAGTTAACAAAGAAGAGGAAGAAGTAGGAACTAAAAATTATTGATGTGAAAAACTAAGTAACTCCAATTAAAGAGTATATACCTTGTAGACAACATAAAATAATAATTGTAACAAAATATTGGTATATTTTATCCCTTCGTTTTATGCTATTTCTTCTTATTTTCCTCTTTTAGTCTTTTAAATCTAATTTTATTTAAAAAGATGAAAAATGTGAATCTTATGAAGCATAAATGTTGAGATATCATACTAAAAATATTTTTAAGAATTTCATTCAAAAAGACAAAAAATGTGAATATTATGAAGCATAAATGTTGAGATATCATACTAAAAATATTTTTAAGAAGCAAACCATGTAAAAAGAAAAAATAGTGATCATATCTCAGCTCAAGTTCACAGAAATGTAGAGAAATCATTCTAAAAATTATAATTTAGAAAAGGGTCACAAAAAAAGGAAAAAATATCACATCTCAAATTAAAAATCCACTAATCTTAACATTACAGTCTTTTTCCCATTAAATTTATTTTTAATATTTAGCTTTTGCTAGTTTAGATATATTGATTTCTTTTATACGTTTCATATTTAATTTAAATATTTTTCATAATTTTCTTCTATGAAATTTGTGTGATTAGTAAAACTCAATTCCCTTTTATTAAAGTACTTAATGATATGAATATACAATTTTATTTTTATTTTTGTTTTTTATGACCGCGCTAAGCGCATTCAAGTACACTAGTTAATGATAAAGCTTAATAAAGTCATCATGTGGGTAATTACCTAATATATATATATATATATAACTCAAAATTCCTCTAGTTTTTGGTTGCCACTATGTGCGTATTATTTTGTTTCAAAGTAACTGAAGACCAAATTATAAAATTATATATACCGTAACCCTTTGTAGTTTAATTCAATGATCTCTAATTTTAGCATCTACCGTTTTAGCCTAAAAAAACTTCGTACCAAAAGTTAGAAACTATAGCTTCTATATATAATAAATAATTAATATATAATATATTGACTAAGAAAAAATAAACATCTAACAAAGTGAAAAGCAATGTAAATTGGCTTATCAAAATAAAAAAATTAAAGAAAAAGAAAGTGCTTCACTTTATTTGATAGCTAATTTCAATTTTGTACAATTTATGAGTAGATAATAAGTGGATATTATAATATCATCCATCATTCAACCCATTTTTATTCACATAAAGTACCGACGAGTCGAATATTTTATCCATTCACATCCAACCCATTGTCAACTCATTCATATGCGATCTAATTCGTCTGTTAGCTAGGACAAGTCATGCCACATGAATAACACCATAGTTACTCATGGAGAAGTTGACAATGTTGGTTTAGAAAGTTTTGGATTTTCTATCTTTATCACACTTGGAATCTCAGGATTTGAAACAACTGGTAATTTAGGCTTTGTAAAAGTTGGGATCTCAGGCTTTGGGGTAGTTGGTAGCTCACGCTTTGGAACACTTGGTATTTCATGCATAGAGACACTACGAGTCTCGAGCTCTGGGGTTGTTGGAATCTCAAGTTTGGAGGAATTAGAGGTCTCAGGTTTTGAGAAACTAACAGTCTCGAAATTTGGAGAACTTGGGATCTCAGACTTAGGCGAACTTGGCGTCTCAGGATTTGGGGAATTCGGTGTCTTAGGCTTTTGGGAACTATGAGTTTCAGGTTTTGGAAAACTTGGGGTCTTAGAATTTGAGAAACTTGGGGTATCAGACTTTGGGAAACTAGGTGTATTGGGCTTTGGGGAACTTGGGGTCTCAGGCTTTGGGAAATTTGGAGTTTCGGTCTTTGGGGAACTTGGATTCTCGGTCTTTGGGGAACTTGGATTCTCGGGCTTTGAGGAACTAGGAGTCTCGAACTTTGGAGAACTTGGCGTTTCGGGCTTTGGCGAACTTGGTGTCTTGGGCTTTGAAAAGCTAGGAGTCTTAGGCTTAAAAGAGCTAGGGGTCTCGGGCTTTGAGAAACTTAGAGTCTCAAATTTTGAAGAACTTGGGATCTCGGGCTTTGAGAAAGTAGGAGTCTTGGGCGTTGAGAAACTTGGATTCTTGGGCTTTGGAGAACTTGGGGTCTCAGGTTTTAAAAAAGTAGGAGCCTCAGGATTTAGAGAACTTGGAGTCTCGGGTTTTGAGAAGTTAGGAGTCTCAGGCTTAGAGGAACTTGGCGTCTCGGGCTTTGAGAAACTAGGAGTTTCGGGCTTTGAGAAACTAAGGGTCTTTGGCTTTGGAGAACTTGGAGTCTTAGGATTTGGAGAACTAGGGGTCTCGGGCTTTGGGGAACTTGGAGTCTCGGGTTTTGAGAAACTAGGAGTCTCGGGCATTGAGAAACTAGGGGTCTCGGGCTTTGGGGAACTTGGGGTCTCGGGCTTTGGAGAACTTGGAGTCTTAGGCTTTGAGAAACTAGGAGTCTCGGGTTTTGAGAAACTTGACTTCTCGGGCGTTGGAGAACTTGGAGCCTCGGGCTTCGAGGAACTTGGGGTCTTAGGCTTTGAGAAACTTGGAGTCTCGGGCCTTGAGAAACTTGGGGTCTCAGGCTTTGAAAAACTAGGAGTCTCGGGCTTTGAGACGCTAGGATATTTGGGTTTTGAAAAGCTTGGGGTCATAGGCTTAGGGGAACTTGGGGTCTCGGGATTTGGAGAATTTGGGATTTCAGGCTTTGAGAAAGTAGGGGTCTCAGACTTTGGGGAACTCAGAGTCTCAGGCTTTGAAAAAGTTGGAGTCTCAGGTTTTGAAAAACTAGGAGTCTCAGGTTTTGGGGAACTTGGAATCTCAGGCTTTGAAGAACTAGGAGTTTCAGACTTGGAGAAGCTAGGGGTCTCGGGCTTTGAGAAACTAGGGGTCTCAAGCTTTGAAGAACTTGGGGTCTCGAGCTTTGGAGAACTTGGGATTTCAGGCTTTTGGAAAGTTGGGGTCTCAGACTTTGAGGAACTCGGAGTCTCAGGATTTGAGAAAGTTGGTGTCTCGGGTTTAGAGAAACTAGGGGTTTCAGGCTTTGAAAAACTAGGGGCCTCGATCTTTGGAAAGTTAGGAGCCTCGGGCTTTGGAGAACTAGGAGTCTCAGGTTTTGAGAAAGTTGGAGTCTTAGATTTTGAGAAACTAGGGGTCTTTGGTTTTGAAAAACTTGGGATCTCGGGCTTTGAGAAAGTAGGAGTTTCGGGTTTTGAGAAAGTAGGGGTTTCGGGGTTTGGAGAAGTAGGAGTCTCAGGCTTTGAGAAACTAGGGGTCTCCGATTTTGAGAAAGTAGAAGTCTTGGGGTTTGAAAAAGTAGGAGTCTCAAGCTTTTGGGAACTAGGGGTCTCGGGCTTTGAGAAACTAGGGGTTTCGGGCTTTGAGAAACTAGGGGTTTTGGGCTTTGAAAAAGTAGGAGTCTCAGGCTTTGAGAAAGAAGGGGTCTCTGATTTTGAGAAAATAGGAGCCTCGGGCTTTGAGAAAGTAGGGGTCTTAGGATTTTGGGAACTGGGGTCTCGGACTTTAAGAAACTAGGGGTTTCATGCATTGAAAAAGTAGGAGGCTCAGGTTTTGAGAAAGTAGGAGTTTCGAGCCTCGGGGAATTAGGGGTCTCGGGCTTTGAAAAACTAAGAGTCTCAGGTTTTGAGAAACTAGGGGTCTCGGGCTTTGAAAAAGTAGGGGTCTCAGGTTTTGAGAAACTAGGAGTTTCGGGTTTTGATAAACTAGGAGTTTCGGGTTTTGAGAAACTAGGAGTTTCGGGATTTGAGAAACTAGGTGTCTCAGGCTTTAAGAAACTAGGAGTTTCGGGTTTTGAGAAACTAGGAGTTTCGGGCTTTGAGAAACTAGGAGTTTCGGGCTTTGAGAAACTAGGGGTCTCAGGTTTTGAGAAACTTGGAGTCTCGTGCTTTGAGAAACTAGGGGTCTCAGATTTTGAGAAAGTAGGAGTCTTGGGATTTGAAAGACTGGGGGAATTGGAGAAACTTGGGGTAGCGGGCTTTGAAAGGCTAGGGGAATTGGAGAAACTGGGGGTAGTGGGCATTGAGAAACTTGGGGTAGTGGGTGTTGAGAAACTAGGAGTTTGTAGAATGCGACGTGCTGTTATAGTAGTAATCATGTATAAAGTAGATAAATGCAAGCAATAAGATGGAGGACAATTTGGAATGCTGAGCCATTTTTCTGCAGATGCAAGAAGCTTAGAGTAACATGTGTTAAGAGCAAATAAAGTTTTGATAATCCAATAGTTTTTCATTTAGCTATATATAGATTTTTACATGCATATAAAAAGGAGGATTTCAACATTTGATACGTTAGTTGACCTATTTATCTGCAAATATTATAGTATTTAGAATTTGTCTTGTAATAGCAATATCATAGTATCTTGAATATCCCTAAAATAAAGGAATACTCAGATTTACTAGCTTATATGAGATTATTAAGGAATCAAACTTTTGTTAAATATTTACTAATCACCTTTAAATTGTTAATTACAATGTATTTTATATCCTTTCATTATTTATTGTTTGTCTCTTTAAATCAAATAAAAATAAAAAGTGGATATAAGAGAAACATCTGCAAATATTATAGTATCTAGAATTTGTCTTGTAATAGCAATATCATAGTATCTTGAATATCCCTAAAATAAAGGAATACTTAGATTTACTAGCTTATATGAGATTATTAAGGAATCAATTTGTTAAATATTTACTAATCACCTTTAAATTGTTAATTACAATGTATTTTATGTCCTTTCTTTATTTGTTGTTTGTCTCTTTAAACCAAATCAAAATAAAAAGTGGATATAAGAGAGACACAATATATCTTAATCAAGTACAGTTTAACTTGACACGCATACCACTCTATCACAATAATGATGACAATGTTGGTTATTCCTTGTACAAAAAAATCATTACACTTTTGTTAAATGTTTATAAAATCAAAATATAAACTCCATCAGTCTTATTTTACAAGGCATTGGTTTGACTGAATATTGCATCTTAATGTTCACTTAATATAAGTATTTATATTACTAGATTCATGCAGAATTCGATAAAGGTGAGGTCTAGGGAAATTCGGGGAAGGATTGGGTAAAATGTATAAGCTTTGGTTAGTCGTTCTATTAGCTATGACGTTGAGGAATTTGTAGGACTTTTTAGAAATGAATTGGGGTGAGTAGAACTCGACGTTATCGAACTTGACATGAACGGGTTGGTCTGGGACGTCAATTTTTGAAGGCGTGTTGAAAAATGGAGACTTTTGGGAGTATTTTTGCATTTTTGTCCCATGCAAGCTTTCATAGTGGGTGACACACTACTTTTGCTGTGTAATTAACTCCCGCTACATCAAGATGTCTCACTATAGCACTTCCACTATAGTGGGATTGAGCAACTTTAGCGGGATTGGTCGCAATTAATGGAGAAAATTCCCCAAAGCCGCTAATTATTTGGAAAGTACGTTTTGGAGAAGAACAAGGGCGACTTAATCAGGGTGAATTTCAGCCATTTTTCATCAAGAACCTTCGTAGATGTAAGTAATCCAATCTTCAACTTCATACTTTGATTGCCTAGGCCATTAAGGTGCTATTAGGGACTCTAGGGAACACTTTGGTTTTGTTCCTAAGATGGGAAGATCTGAGTTACTGAGGATTTTGGGTTGTAAAGCCTTGGGTTAATTGTTAAATGTTTTTGTTGATTTCTCTATTGTTATTCACTCATGTAGCAATGAAATTGGCAGTTTTCGGTGAATTAATGGTGGAGAAGCCCTGGATTGGGTGAGAAGATCATAAGTTTGGCTTGGGGTTGAGATTAAGTTGTAATATGAGTATAATTAGGCCACTGGAGATTGAATCTTGTACCTGTATTGTTAATTGTAGACTAATAACAAGATAGCTAGGATTTGTAACAAGGGAAAGACTCAGGTCCAATAGAGCTTTCAAGGCTTGATTCGAGAAAGGTGATAGTTTATTATTTCCAAGTTATGTAATGTATGCATGATAACTGTTTTTATCGTATTGTTTCTGCAATGCATGGTTAGGAAGATCAAATAAATGTAACCGAAATGATACCTTGTACACCATCACATGCAATGGAGGTGTTTAATTTACTTGTGTTTACAAGTGTTACTGTAGTTCATTATGATTATGATTTTGATTGTGTGTTATGTGACCATTGGTTGGCTTGGGTACCTCGCCAACTACATATATTAAGTTGGATCAGGTACCACGCGTAGTACATGTTACTACATGGTTGGATCGGGTACCAAACCTAGTTTGCCTTGGTACCACGCCTAGTACATGTTTGATTGTGCTCCTGTATGTTATTTCCTTGAATTAACTACATATTGTTTTACTAATCATTTATTAAATGAAAATATATATATTTTACTCTAATGCTATCACTTCCATTTATAGTAATTGAGTTAAATTCAAATCATTTTGTGCTCCATATCTAAGTGTATCCGATCCTTTCAAATTAATATCTATCTATATAAATCAGAGAAGAAAAAAGAAGAAAAGTCCAACACTCTTATGTGTAGGAAAAACAATTATATTTTGTAAGTTTTAAAATTGTTTGAATTAGAAAATTCTTAGTTGTTAGCATTTACTAATTAGGAATGTAACTAAATAAGGGTGAATTATTTACTAAATTAGATATTATCTCTTTGAAATATATGTAGTTTATGGATCCGACCTCATAATGTCAATTTTAGTCAAAATATTTCTTATTTAGGAAAATAATTTAGTGTGATTTAAAAGTTAAGCATATCCACGAAAAGATGTGATAAAAATAATAACAAATGTGTTTTCATACACTAAATATTATTATAAATACCCAAAGGCTAAGAACATTAGATGAATATTACCATTACAATTTAAACATTCTACCTCTCCTACTCGAAACTCTGTGATTATAATTCCTCTTCTCCATTAACTCACATGGCTTCAAAAAGTAACAACCTTAAGCAATTGATCCTAATTCCATCTACCGACTCTGACGACCGTCAACAATCCATCAATGGCGTCAATGATGCCAACAAAGTGTCGAGGCTCCCTCGTTGGATCAAACAAGAAATTCTCGTTCTCATACAGGGAAGAAAAGTGGTTGAAGACCAGATCCATCGAGCCCGAACCAGAGGTATGGAATTGGGTTCAACACATGTTGAAGCGAAGTGGGATTCTGTTTCATCCTACTGTAAAAGACAAGGGGTGAATTGTGGACCGATTCAATGCCAGAAGAGATGGAGTAATCTGGCTGGGGATTTTAAGAAGATTAAAGAGTGGGAGTCTCAGATTAAAGAAGAAAAATAATCCTTTTAGATGATGAGGAATGATTTTAAGAGAGAAAAAAAAATTACCTAGATTTTTTGATAGACAAGTGTTTGATATTCTTGATCATGGAAATGGCAATGAAAAAGGGTTGGATGTGGCTTTTGCGTCAGAAGTTTTGTTTGATAGTGGCAGAAGTGTTGTTGTAGGGGATGATGGGTTGTTTTCAGATGTACCACAAATGAATGAGGATGCTATTCGTATGCTAACTTCAGAGGAACCACATCAGCCACTCTCTCAAGTTTCTCCTACACAAGCAGGTGTAAGACAAACTATCACTCGAGGAGTTGATAAAGGAAGAGGTCAAGAAGGAAGGAAAAGAAAGCGAAACGACTCAAATGATGAAAAAGCAAGGAATGTCCAACATCATTTAGTAAAAGCAAAGAAAGGACCATGTTGACACATTAGTAGTTGTGCTAAACAAGCTTACATGTGCTTTAGAAAGAATTGCAGATAAGTTATAGTGCCTAGTTCATTTAATTACGATGCAAAATATGTTCTTTTAATCTTTCAAAGGCTTAGTGTTGGCAAAAAACAACACATCATGACTATAAAAGAAATAGTTGCTTTTTCTTAATTCTTTTTATACACAAGTATCTCTGTGTTTTGTCACAATTTCTAATTAGTCAGGCTCCTTTGTATAACTCACTACTTGCTTGCTTGCTCGATTTGCAGAAACATTGTATACAAATCATAATATCTCGCTTCTAGTTGTCATTTTATTAGCATGGATTCCTTTAATCTATGGCATACAATATCAAAAGTTTTGTTGAAATGTGTTTTCTCACTCATTTAGGTCATCAAGAAAATTTTAAAAATTGAATATTTTAATTGTGGAAGAAATCATATTTAGTATAATTTTATGTTGTTTTTAAATATATTAAAAACAAAATCTTGCATAAATTTGTTTTTGTTGATGTGCATTACTCACCAACATGTTACTTGACTCACATTGAATATTTTTCTAAACTAATTTTTATGGGAAAAAATCTGAGATAATTTCAAAAAACACTAATGAAAATGATGCGTTTAAACATAGTGGGGAAAGGGAAGACATATCCTACCTTTAGGAAGAACACACACACAATCCAAATCATGACTTAGGAGCAGTTCCATTATGAACAACCTTTGAACACTACCACACTATCAAGAATGTAATCACAACATTAATACAGTTGTTTAAACACTAAAGTTACATATAATAGATACATACCTAAATTGGAGTAAGAATGTGAAATATGGGACTGATGTTTGTGTAATCAGGACACAACCTCCGATGCAAGTGTCTATGGTCGTACAATAGTTTAATAACCCAACCAAGGGTTGGGATCGTTCCCAAGAGAGTGGTTTTGAGAATTAATAGAAAAATAAAACTTAGTTCTAACTAGTCGCAGCTAAAGACATTAACGATTAAAAACATTGTAAATTAAAGGTGGACACAAGAGTGTCAATGAACAATGGGGGGTTTTGTCACTAGTAAGTAAAAACTACAAAATAAACGAGTGTTTCTAAGTAATGAGAGGGGATCCTTGGGATGTGACGGGAATACGGGTTAAGCTAGATTATTGGGTACATGCTTTCGATAGAAGATTCACAGAATAATTATGACTAGGCTAGACTTTAAGGGGGATAAGCTCTCTCTCGAGCAACTTACCCCGTTTCAAGTGGGTTCCTCTTGGACACCCACTTGCCGCATGAAGAACAACCTCCGCCTTAATCCACTCACTGTCTAGAACTGAGTGTGTGGATATGGGATTAGAGCAAAAATATCAAAAAGTATTATTCTATATGTAAATTATAATAATTGTTCGACACTTAAAACTACAACTCTAACTAGTATTTATAGTTTCC